CTCTTCCGATCTCTCGACAACGAATGCTGGGGGAGGGGGTACAGCGGGTGAGCCAACATAATCTGGACGAGCGAGATTTCCAGCACAACCGAAGGCCCCAAGAGCAAATGAACGGTTCGTTCGAACACCGAATCAACCGCCGACATAAACGATCAAAAACATTCGGAAAGGCACTTCAGGAATCGTGCGTGGTCGTACTCGCCTCGTGATGGCTGGCGAAAAACCTTCACTTGGGTTGTTACCTCTATGGCTGCTGTTCTAACTCGCCGTCTGCCTGCCCCTGTTGCCTTTTCGCGAACCACGAGACCACGAGACTTTTTCAAATAGGGTCGACACGCGGAAACAGAACCGGGTAGTCGGCTCTCTTTTCTCTCTCTGCGTGCTTCACTCACTTGAAGCCGTCCATCTTCTGAACCACGGTCGCCTCCCACCAGCTCCTTCCAACGAACACGTCCAAGGACTCGAGACGGAAGCGGCCCTCCCACGAGACCTCCACCTTGTCCCCAACGAGAGGGTCCTGTAAGCGGTACCTGTGTGGTCGGCGAAATCAGGGAGAGACAAACCCAGAGAGAGAGAGAGAGAGAGAGAGAGAGAGAGAGAGAGAGACGGGGATAGGGAGAGTGACACACAGACAAACACAGACACAGGCAAATAGACGCAGTGAGAGAGATAACAAAGTTATGAGAGGGAGAGCGGGGGTGCGAGCGGCCTATCGTGAGCGCATGGCGAGACCAACGGGTGATGCCCAGCCTACACAGAGATGGTTCGTACCGCTGTTGTCGATTTTCTCTCATTTGCAGATGACGAGTCGACAGCACCAACAGAGACAAGTCCTGGAAGGTAAGCCGGGATTCGGTGTACGGGAGTGGCGGGCCGATCCTATGAATGCTTGGTTCTCTTCGTCCTCTGCCGGCGCAGGAGGCGTTACAAACGCCGCTCCGATCTGTTTGCCTGACTGCTCGGAACAGCATGGCCATGAGGATGGCCGCCTCCTAACGTTGTAGGCCGACGATGCTGGCTTCGTATCAAGATCGTCTCAAGGGCTGGGAGGGTGATGACTACCGTGGCGCCAGGTGTTTGGAGACTTCGGTCTGACTGTATCCGAGAACAGAACAGAGAGGCTCTCCTGATGCGGGCACCGGAGAAGAACGGTGCGCCAACGACACCACCTCAGGCACCACCGGTGATCGCAGCAGCAGCGGGACAGAAGCACGCCCAGACAGCGAAGTGCCCGATACCTGGGAGGGCGAGTCAGAGAAGAACGTGAGCTCACGCAGGGGATCAACAACCGGAGCGGGCGTGTATCCGCAAGTACTACCGGGAGCTCTTCGACAGGCAGGCAGAGGCGTGTGGAGACACATACCCCTTGGCCTGCTCCCCGGCCGGGGCCGAAATCGACCTAGTGAGTCCCTCGCGGGCGAACCAGGCCACAACAGATAGTAGGCGGGTGGTGTCCCAAGGTGCAACTCACCGCCGCGCTGGCTCAGCGTGGCGGTGAGGACGCACAGACGGTGGTAGTGGCGAGAGGTGTGTATGGACACTGTTCCCGCGGCAGTAATGCAAAGCGGGAAACTGCACCTGGCAACCACCGTCGCGGAAAGCGTGGCCCACGAAGCTGGAGGAGAAGAGAGATTCGTAAACACCACGTCAGTAAGCACCGCTCGCGGGAGAAGGGAGACAACCGCGGGCACCGCGGGGAGGGAGTGCTGCACCGTCCTCGTCAAACACCACAGGCAAGAACCGAGCTCTGCAGAGATGGATTGACGCGAGGAAAGTCGCCGCTCGGAATATACGGAAGAAAGCACACCCGCAACGCGAGGTGGACCGAGAGAGACACGAGACAGCAGCGGCCGTCAAGACGGCTGCGAAGAAGAAGGCACGAGAGGGCGACCTATCGTTTGGCACGTTCAACGTACGCACGCTCGCCTACAGCGGTAGGAACCCCATCGGTCACAACGTGATGACGGTCATGCAG